GGAACTCGAGGAGCACGAAGTGTGTGACTGTTGCATCCGGCCCTCCAGAATGTGGCCCGGGAATGGAATTCTGGGAACTCGAAGAGCACGAAGTGTGTGACTGTTGCATCCGGCCCTCCAGAATGTGGCCCGGGAATGGCGTTCTGGGATCTCGAAGAGCACGAAGTGTGTGACTGTTGCATCGGGTTATTCAGAATGAGCCTGGGAATGGAGTTCTGGGAACTCGAAGAGCACGAAGTGTGTGACTGTTGGTGAAAAACGAGCCCGGCACCTGCCGCCCGGCAACTCCCAACACCTGCCCGGACCCCCCTGTGGAGTGATCTGCTGCTCTCTTTTGATCCCACTAGAAACCTATCAGTCTTCGCTGTTAGGTAAAATACGCAGTCCCTGAACTATGTTTGGACTAACTTTTTTTGTTACTACTTTTAGGGGGCATGTTTTATTTTTCGTCGAACATCTCCCTGTAGGGGGACAGGCCCGACTTCAGCCCAGGGCCGGGCGCTGCCAGAAGCGTCACTGCCCCGGCCCTGCAGGCGTGCTGCAGAGGGGGACGTCCGCGCGGAAATTCCTGCGCGGACGCTTTTGCCCGGAGCGGCGAGCGAGAAACGAAGCGAGCTTTTCACGTGGATCTGCTGGAGTCTCCATTCCTGGCCCCCCAAAACAAATCCGCACGGAATTCACCTCGAAATCCGGAGCGAAATTCTCCAGGACACTCTGGGCCCATCTCAGTGTCTTCCAAACTAAATCCGCTCTGCAAAGTTGGCGCCATGAGAAGTGCCCCTGCCCCAAGGTACCCCCAGCTTGTCGCTACATCTTGGAGCCCCTGGGGCCCTCTCGGCCTCGTCGGGGGTGCCCTGGAGGCCGTCTGGTGAGCCACCCCGAGAACCCTGGGGGCGCCTCGGGCCAGGGATGCTTCTAGCAACACCCGACCTCAGGGGAGGAGGCAGACGCCCAAATCTCTGGCGGTTGGGCGCGAGTTCGTGGGGGGGCGATGACCCTGACCTTCCAGAGTGCTATAAAATAGCCCTCGAGACTTAGAGACCCCTCTGGACCGCCTACAGCCTCGACTGGATTCTACACCCTGCGAAATGCTTAAGAAATCATGGGTTAAGAAATTCATAGTCTCAGAAATTGAATTAAAACCCAACATTTCTCTTAAAATCTTAGGATTTGCATTGAAACATTAAGAATAATCGAGACTCTGGCCGAAAACTTAAGTTTTCTTAAGCATCGCCTAAGGTGTAGATGTCGAGGTCCTGGTGCTACGTTTGAGCCGTCGAGGAGGGTCTGGGGAGTCGGGCCCCAGAGAAAGGCCCCCGCCTGGGCCCGAGGAGGCCCCCCCCGAGGGACCCCCGAGGCTACCCCCCCCCGTGGATGAGCAGGGACCGACCGTCCCGTCATTCCTGCAGGCCTACCACGAGATGTTCTTAGAACCCAAAGTTGCTCTGAGAGAAAAAAAAAAAAAAAAAAAAAAAAAAAAAAAAAAAAAAAAAAAAAAAAAAAAAAAAAAAAAGAACAGAAACCCGATGCTTTCAGGCGAGACAGTCTCGGCCAGAAGCGCTCTCAGAACAGCTCGTGCGGACCACAGAAGGCTCTTTGAACATTCTTTGGTGGACCTCTAGGCAAGCCAGGACGCTTCGCCACTGCTCGACGTTATCGCTATCGCTATCGCTATCGGCTCGATGTCCAGTTGGACGCAGCCGTCCGCGCGGCCGAAGCTACGCGCGCGCGCCCGAGGCGCGTGGGGGGGGGGTCACCCCCCGACACATGCTCCCGCCAGAGGGGCGGGGGCCGAAAAGGACCGAGAAAACGGGCCCAGGAGTTTCGGGGACGAGGAAGGAGGAAGAGGGGGCTCATTAAAGGCCTGAAGAGGAAGGGGTTTTGTTTTTTTTTTTTTTTTTTTTTTTTTTTTCGGCTCGATGTCCAGTTGGACGCAGCCGTCCGACTGCTCGACGTTGATCCTCCCCCCTTGCGCGTCGTCCGACTCTGGCTCGCTCCGCACGACGTTCCTCGATCTCGGCCTCCGGGGTTGGCTGTCGGGCCCCGGGACCAACACCAAAAGGGACCCGGGGCGAGAAGAGAAACCCGGGTGAGGTTCGGGGGCGCGTGCTGGGGAGGAGGAGGAGGAGGAGGAGGAGGAGGAGGAGGAGGAGGAGGAGGAGGAGGAGGAGGAAGAGGAGGAGGAGGAGGAGGAGGAGGAGGAGGAGGAGGAGAGGCCGCTGCCGGCGGGGCCTCTCTGAGAGGCCCCGCCGCCCGCCGCCCTCGTAGGCCTGGCCCCTCTCGAGTTGCCCCCCTCGCCGCGCCGATCGAAGGGGGAAGGGGGGGGGGGCCTGCTCATGGGGTTCGGTGGGGCATGTCCTCGTACAGGGCAATGTTTTATACATAGGATTTGTTTAAATGATTTTTAATACATGATTAATGCATGAATCAATGTATGCATGGACTCATCGCATTTTGTATACTAAACCCTGCATGTTTTTTTACACATTGGAATGTTAAACTATAAGCTTTTTAATCCATGATTACTGCATGAATAAATGTGTGCATGGACTCATCGTTGCTTTTGTATACTAAACCCTGCATGTGTAATGCATGATCCGCACGCGGAGCATGTTTGAAAAACGGCACTGTACAGGCGGATCTTGGAAGAAAAATGAAGGACAGGCCACAAATACTCAGGAGCAGTCAAGCATGGTCGAGAAATCGTCCCCAGACTATTGTTTGACTATTTGGGAATATTCCTCCTGTAGAGGGACATGCCCGCCTTGATCATGGGGGGGGAGCATCGAGCTGGAGTCGGCGACGCCGTGCGTCGCCGATCGATCGGTGGCAGTCCCCCGACCGCGAAACGCCGCGCGCCCCTCGGCGGGAGGAGGGGAACCGGGCCCCCATCGGCGGCGGGTGGGCGATCGAGGGCTGACGAGTTTAGGGGAGCGAAGAATGACATAAACATAAAAACTTGGAGGTCCGCGCGGATTCCACGGATCGGCGCTGGACCCCCCTCCCTGGCGCGCGAAGCGCGCCACGGGCGGCGCCTGAGGCGCCGACAGGGGGCCCCAGCGCGGATCCGAGAAATCCGCGCGGACCTGGGAGTTTTTATGTTTATGTCACTCTTCGTTCCCCTAGTGTTGCCCCCCCCACCCCTCCGTGAGCCCCTCTCCGCCCTCTCGACGTCCCCGGGCTGTCGGGTACAGTCGAGGCGTCGACCTAAGGAACCCTGACTAAGGAACGAGGCCCATTCTTTTCCATAAGTGAAACTTCGACCTCCGATCGAAAACAGAAGGGAAACCTGAGGCAAGCTGCGAAACACGGAAGGAACGCGGAGCCCCTCCCCAACGAAAAGGGTTCCTTCTCCGGTGGCCGCGCGGGACGACTCGGGCCACCCGGGCACCGGAGCAGCCCTGGGAAGCGCTCGCTCTCGGCGAGGCGCGGCTGCTGGAGAGCAGGCCGAGGCCCAGAAGGCCGGCGACGACCGGCAGGAGCGCCCGGTGACCTGGAGAGCCACGCCCGAGGACGGGCTCCCCCCTGAGGAGGAGGAGGAGGAGGAGGAGGAGGAGGAGGAGGAGGAGGAGGAGGAGGAGGAGGAGGAGGAGGAGGAGGAGGAGGAGGAGGAGGAGGAGGAGGAGGAGGAGGAGGAGGAGGAGGAGGAGGAGGAGGAGGAGGAGGAGGAGGAGGAGGAGGAGGAGGAGGAGGAGGAGGAGGAGGAGGCGGAGGGGAGGAGGAGGAGGACGGAGGAGGAGGCGGAGGAGGAGGCGGAGGAGGGGAGAAGGCTGACCACATAAACATACACGTTCGGAGCTCCGCAGTGGTCTCTCGGATCGGCGCTGGGCCCCCTCCCAGGGCGCGGAGCGCGCCAGGGGCGGCGCCGGAGGCGCCTCCAGGGGGTCCCAGCGCAGATCCCATGAATCCGCGTGGAGCTCCGACAGTTTATGTTTGTGCAAGTGCTTCCTCTTTGACTTCAGTCGGACCTGGGCTAGAAGAACACCCCTCAAGAACAGAAGACCCTCCGTCGGCCAAAACAAACAGAACATCCATGGGTCCTCTCCCCAGGATGCACAAAAACATCCAACAAACACAAAGAACATCAGGGTCCCCTCCCCGAGTCCCCTCCCCGAGCCGACCTCGATCTCATACATCGGTCCGACTGTATTGATGCCCCTGGGCCTCCCTGATGAGGGTCAAGGGCTCGCTCACCTTCTCGAAGGCGGCCTGCCGCTGCGCCCCCAGGAAGGGATCCTAGAGGCCTCCTAGATGGGGTCCGGGTAGATGGGGTCAGAGGATCTCGCCGCATCGCCGATGCATCGCCGATGCATCGAGGATGCATCGGCGATGCGCTGGCGGCGTCGGCGATGCATCGGCGACGTCTGCGTGGAGAAAATTGGGCCCCACATCGAGCCGCATCGCCGGTGCATCGCTTTAGGGGGCCACATGCGAACCCTACCCCTACCCCACCCTCGCAATCAGAAATCGTGCGGGGTACACCCTGCGAAATGCTTAAGAAATCATGGGTTAAGAAATTCATAGTCTCAGAATTTGAATAAAAACCCCAAAATTCTACTCAAAAGTTCGGTTTTCCGTGGAAGCAATAAGAATAATGAAGACTCTGGCCGAAACCTTACGTTTTCTTAGGCATCGCCTAGGGTGTAGGGGTAGGGTCCGCATGGGGCCCCCGAATCGCCGAGCCGCATCGGCGACGCGGCGCGACGCTTCGACCCCGTCTGCTCCGACCCCGTCCAGGAGGCCCAGGGATCGGAGGGTCGAGGGGTCGAAGGGCTCCGGGGAGCGAGGGGGAGGAGGAGGAGGAGGAGGAGGGGGAGGAGGAGGAGGAGGGGGAGGAGGTGGAGGAGGAGGAGGAGAGGAGGAAGGAGGAGGAGGAGGAGGAGGAGAGGAGGAGGAGAGAGGAGGAGGAGGAGGAGGAGGAGAGGCCATCGAGGGGCCGAGGGGCCGAGGGGCCGAGGCGGCGAGGCGGCGAGGCGTCGAGGGCTGCGGGGATCGAGGGGTCGCGGGGCCGCGGGGCCGGCGGCTCCTCCACCCGCAGTGCAATGGGGGCGGCCCAGGAGGGCTCGGCGCGGAGCACGAGCCTCACGCCCAGCCCGACGAAGCCCAGCGCCGCCTCGGGGCGCCGCAGGCTCCCGGGCCTGGCAGGCTCCAGCTTCGTCTTGAGGCGCACCTCGGGGAGGGCAGAGCCGCAGGAGCATCGACTTGCGGGGATGGACAGAGCCCCCTTCCCCGTACAACGCGGTTCCGTGCGGACGACCTCGGGCCCAAGCCTGGCGGGCGCCAGCCTGGAAGACGACGGCCGCGGCGTCCTCTCGAGAACCGGAGACGGACAACTCACTAGTCGACGTGTCAGGGTGGGGGCTCTGTCCACCCCCGAAGCGATCGGAGCTCCGCGCGGGTGTCTCGCATCGGCGCTGGGCCCCCCCTGCGGCGTCTCCGGCGCCGCCCCTGGCGCGCTCGGCTCGCCAGGGAGGGGCGTCCAGTGCCCTGTCCAAGACAGCAGCGTGGATTGCAGCAGGGGCCCGACCGCAGGAAACCTTCCACGAGAAACCCAACCCTGAGACCCCCAGGACGTCCACTGATCTGTGGCGTGGGAACGCCACGCTGTCCATCGCAAAACTGCCGAAACCCAGGGCACCCTGGAGGCAGGCAGGATGTCTCTTGGCATGGGACTCCACTGTATCTCGGTTTTTCTTCTTCCAGCACCAGCTCCAGCGGAAACAGGTTCAGGTCAAACTCGGCCGCCCAGGCGGCGGACAGCGGCTGAGCCGCGTCTGGCTTGCACCGCTGGCCGCGGCGCACCACCAGCGACAGCGGCAAGAACGACCCGCCGTAGAAGGCGTCGTGCTCGAACCCGGCTCTGAACCTGTTGAGGAAGAGAGAACGCACAAGCATAACCGTTCGGAGGTCCGCTCGGATTTCTTGAATCGGCGCTGGACCCCGTTCCTGGCGCGCTCCGCGCGCCCGCGGGGGGCGCCAGAGGCGTCCCCAGGGGGGCCCACGCAGGTCCACGAACTCTGCGCAGGCCTCCGAAAGATGACCAAGTGTTGTTTTGTGCTTCCTTCTTCGAACCTGGTGCTGGCTCCCTCAAACACGTTCACTCTCAGGTCGCAGCCCGCAGCCTCAAAGCCGTCCAGATGGGATCGAAGCACATGGGGTCGGAGGATCGTGCCGCAACGCGGATGCATCGGAGACATCGGCAAGAAGGAGATCGGGCTCCACATCGAACCGCATCGCGAGCCCTCCGCTCCCAAACGACCCCCGAAGCCCGTGTCAGGCCCCCACGAGGTCCCCGAGAGGCCCCCAGGGCCCTCACAAAAGAGGCCCCCGAGGGGCACCCCAAGCGAGCCGCAGATATGCACTCGCGAGGCCTCTGGTCCACGACCCACGCCTGGCAGCGGCTGGGCCGAGCCTCCAGCCTCGATGTGCTCTTCGCGCAGGCCGCTCGGGAGCAGAAAGCTCCGCCTGCCTCCGTGCGCTCCGCGGCCCCCCTCGCGGGCTGGGGGCACCGTCCGCGAGAGGCCTCTCCGGGCGGCTCCACACATCGGGCCGCACCACCGAGGCGGCGCGACCCGCCCACCCCGCGAGCCCCGACCCCCTTTTGGGCGACCTGGAGACCTCCTGCACGAGGAAGCGCGCCGAGCTGACCGGCGGCTGGCCCTCCGCGTCGTCGTCGGCCTCGGCCCCGCCGCCGGGCGGCCGCTGCGGCCGGAGCCCCCCGGACTGGCGGTCGCCCAGGGACAGCTGGCACACGGGCAGCCGCCCTCCCGGCACGCTGGCCGAGAGGAAGCAGACCTCCAGTTTTATGCTGTTCCCATCGCACTGAGGACCACGTCCCAGAAACGACTCCGAGCTCCCAGAAAAAAGTATCGAGACGGTGTCGAACGAGTGTCGCCTCCCGGGGCCCGACACGTGAGAACCCCCCAGCTTTTCGGTACGTACTTTCCTGATGCTCGAAATCCTCCCTGGTGCTCCAAGCAAAGAAGTAGGTTGGGCCACCGTGAACCTCCAGGTGGCCTCGGCCCCCAGGCTCGCCGCCGCAGCCGCCGCCGTCGTGCCACCGGGGAGCGTCGTCCTCGGGGTCGTGGCTCCGGTGGGCGCTCCGGCACGCCTCGTACCACCAGCGCTCCGAGAGCGGCACGGGCGCGGCGCGCGCCTCCGAGGCCTCGGCCTCGCTGTCCTTGCTGGGGCTGCCTGCCCAGGACCCCCTCGCATCGCAAAAGTCTCCAAGTGGGCTTGCCCTCTGGGAGTCCTAGCATATCAGAAGCATTCGGTCCTTAGGACCCCCTCCCCCCCCCCCTTTTTCCAGTGGCACCCCCCCCTTTTCCAGTGGCGCCCCCGCACCTTTACCAGTGGCACCTGCTTGCTTGCTCTGGGTTGCGTGCTCTCGCTTGCTTGCTCTTGCTTGCCAATGCTTGCTTGCACTTGATCGCTGGCTCTTGCTTGCTTGTTATTGCTCGCTTGCGCTTGCTTGCTTCAGCTTGCTTGCTTGCGCTTGCTTGAATTTGCTCCTCCCGTTCTCCTCCTGTCCTGCTCCCGTCCTCCTTTCGTCCTCCTCCCATCCTCCTTTCGTCCTCCTCCTGTCCTCCTCCTGTCCTCCTATCTATTTGAAGTCAACGCTGGCTGAGATCATGACGCAAGGTTTGTAACTATTATGGGCTTCCAGCCGCCCTTACTGGGCATCGGGTCAAAGAACTAGACAGGATGAAGAACCGATTCCTGGAAAGGGGTCCCCACCTCTTGGGGACCACGTGATGAATCAATCATTACGTCCAGGGCCTGGAAAAGATGCTCCTGGCCTGAAGTGTCACCGGCTTTCCGCCCCATTCTGGAGCTCCCGGGGCCCTCTGGGACTATCGGCTGCACGCAAGAGTGACCCTGGGTAAGAGTGACCTTTGGTGCGCGGCTTTTGGGGGGCCGCGGGGGGACTAAAAACAAGCGCGCAAGACGCTACTACCGCATCGCGTTCAGCGATCAAAAGACTCCGATGGGCCCACAACAAAGGTCACTCCCGCGAAGGGTCACTCTTACGTGTGGCCGATGTGAGGGGTACAGACAAAGTTCTACAATAAGGAACCTGGTGTAAGGAACCAACGAAGCCCCTTTTGGGCCTCGGTTGCGCCCAAATGTGGGACATCGAGCCCCTCTCGAAACCGAAATGGAACTGATCCCAAAACTTAGATTGTTCTCTGGAGGCCGCGGGAGCCTCTCTTAGGCGATCGACATACTGTCGATGCCCCTGCCCACGCCCCGAGCCTACGAGGGGCCAGAGCGGCGGCATTAAGAACATTCGGGCCTCCAGAGCTACATCCGTTTAGATCCATGACGCGCCCAGCTATCCCTGGTGCCCAGAGTGGGGTGCAGCCGCAGGGGAGCATGGGTATGGATCGAGCGTCGATCGTCGATCCCTGAAGATCCTGGCGACACTCTGGGCCAGGGACACCTTTGACAACACCCGCTCCTTTGACAAGAGGTTGCTGACCTGCTCTCTGGCCTTCTGCTCGACGGTCTCCTGCAGCTTGAGCTTGCAGTTCGCCGCGTTGTGCCTGACCTCTCGCACCGAGTCCGCGACGGAACTGACGGCGCCAGAGATCAGGCCCCTCGTCACGTCGCCAAACTGGTACCTCGGAGGCCGCCAGAGGCTTCTCTGATAGTCTGCACGAGCTTCCAGACGCCTTCAGATGCCACTGGAGACCCGAGAAGAGCCAATCACGTCAACATGCATTACGTCATCGATCCTCTGCGATGTACCCGGGAGGCTCTGGAGGTCCCTGGGGGCGTCCAGATACATCGAGGCCCGAAAGGGGCCAGAAGCACTGAAGAGACAAGAACTTCGAGTCTAGATGATCGAGAATGGATCCTTGATCATCACCGGTGATCCTCGATGATCGAGGACGGATTCTGGATGATCGAGGACCGATCATCGATCATGGATCCTCGGTCCTCCGCGAGCATCCTCGACCCCTGGATCCTTCTCGGGTCCATCCTAACCTATCTTTCGTTCCAGATCGGTTTTGGACAGTCCCATTGCTTGGAATCGGCCCCAGAAATCGAAATGATAGAACAGAAACCCGAACGGGCCAGATAAACGGAGAGGTGGGAGTAGCAAAGGGGGGACTATAGCGAATCAGCTCACGCAACTGGTTCTCCCGGCGCCACCCGGGGCCAATGTGCAGAGGAATGCGACCGGCGGCGCGGGCGAAACCAGCTGCACTTTGCAGATCTCGCAGCCCCAATTCCCTTCCCTGTCCCCACTTTCGTCCGCCCCGACTCGACCCTCGAGCCCCTCCATTCCTCGACCCTCCCCGATCCTCGAACCTCCGCTCCTCGAATCTCTGATCCTCGACCCTCCCCGAGGTGCCCCTGCTCGCCGCCGCTACCGCCTCCAGGGTGTAGAGGATGGCGAGGAGGAGGAGGAGGAGGAGGAGCAGGAGGAAGAGGCGGAGGAGGCGGAGGAGGCGGAGGAGGGGAAGGGGGAGGAGGGGGAAGGGGGAGGAGGAGGGGGAGGAGAAGAGGGGGAGGAGACAAGCTGGGTGCGCTCGCGTCATATCTGACGTCCTACCCCTCCCTCCCATCCCTTACCATGGCTCTGATTTTCTCTATCCGCGGACGCGTGTCGAAGCGGACCTGTGGCTCCGCGCGCGCGTGCGTAGTGGGTGGTGATGCGCGTGCGTGCGTGCGTGCGTGCGTGCGTGCGTGCGTGCGTGCGTGCGTGCGTGCGTGCGTGCGTGTGTGCGTGGTGGTGGTGGTGGTGGTGGTGGTGGGGGTGGTGGTGGTGGTGGTGGTGGTGGTGGTGGTGGTGGTGGTGGTGGTGGTGGTGGTGGTGGTGGTGGTGTTGGTGGTGTTGGTGGTGGTGGTGGTGGTGGTGGTGG